AGCCAATGATGGCGTATACGATCCTACTGAGGAACATCACCCCGACTCAACAGCAGAACATAAGGACTTACCGAAGTTACGGCAACTCCGCGGAGCTCGCGTACAACCACCTGAAGAGCCTGTATCAAGCAACAGACAGCGTAAGTCAAAGTCGGTTTATGGCGCAACTGACAACAATCGAAATGAAACCAGGGGAGAAAGGAATGGCGCATATCAGTCGATGTCGCGAGTTGCGCGACAAGCTTCTTCGATGCGGAGGGTCGATTTCTGAAGACGCCTTCGTGACAATCATCATCGGCGGCCTCGGTCCTCAATGGCGCGCCACAAAGGCCATCCTCCGAGCTCACGGAAGAATCTCCGAAGCAGCGCTCTGCGCCGAAATCCACGCCGAGCAGCAAGACATGGACCTGCAAGAAGAACGACACAGAAAGAAGACATCAGCAACGGAATTCACGTTCCACACCCAGCGACGCTACAACAACAACAACAACCAGCAGCAACAACCGAAGCCAGTACCTCCGTTCTGCCACATCTGCAAAACTTCAGGACACCCGCGTACACACTGCTCGAATCGTCAAATGTCAACAACCCCACAATGGCAACTTCGACCTTCAAGCAGCCAAATCGCCTCAACGCAAGTAAATCCCACGACTTAGATTCAAGCTTCAACGATCTCAACAGGACAACCTACACAAGGAGCAAGAAACATCGTCAGCTGCATGGCAAAGCTGACAGACTCCTGCATCACCGAGTCACCACCACACTACTCACCGGAAGAACAACTCGACGAAACCACACCCCGCCGCGAGTCACTTCAGCCGAACCCAACATACGCCGCCATCGCCCAAAGCGAACCATCCGGAAGGGACACATGGTTCTTGGACAGTTGCTGCGGACAGCACATGTGCTCCTTGGGACGCTTCGTTCAACGAGAACACCAACTTCAACGCGAAGTTGTCATTACAGTCGCCAACAATCAGAACCCGCAAACACGACGACAAGGCGTAGTTCAACTTCAGTCAAGGGAAACAAACGTCATACTGCAGATGTCAAAAGTACTAATCGCGGAGGGACTCGGCTACAACTTACTGAGCGTCAGTCAGCTAATGGCGAAGGGGATTCACCTCGAAGCAGACAGCACCACCCAAGAATTCAAGCTGTATCACGGGAGAGGAGGACTCTACATCGGCAAGGCGGTCCTCAAGAACAACGTCTTCGTTCTTGATTTCGTTCCTGACCTTGGCACCGCCAACATCGACGCCATCGTCAACTTCACCAATTGGACACACCCTCCAGACCTTGATCCAGACTTCAAACCAGAAGGCTTCTGGTATTCACACACCATCCGTGAAGCAGAAAGAACAAGGGCGTTAGCAACAATTCAGACAACATCAGCAGCAGCAGAAACAACATCGGCAGCAGCAGAGACAACGTCGGCAGCAGCAGAGACAACATCGGCAGCAGCAGAGACAACATCGGCAGCAGCAGAACCATCAACGGCAGCAGCAGAAACGTCAACACCAATCGCTGGTCCTTCAACGACACCGCTCCTCATCGACGACACACCACCAACACCCGCGCAACAACTACACCCAACACCACGAGAAGTTCATCGTAGCGCCAACTTCACCGCCAACTTCTACTCCAACTCCGACATGTACCGACGATCACCCGGACATCGCACCGACGAAAGCACCTGGCACGCAAGGATGGGAGATCCAAGCAACACAGTATTAAACAATACAATAAGAGCAGGGAAACAGGGCAGCACAAAAATGTTACAAGTTTTCGGATGCATGGTACAGTACCGACCACCAGCAGCACGAGCGGGCCGATTTTCTCAACGAGCACAGTGGGGACTACACCTGGGAATCGAAAAGAACTACAACGCGTTGAAAATCTTCGACGTCCACTCCAAGGAAGCAGTAGCAGCACGTGACGTAATTTTCTACGAACGACTCACGCTCCAAACATACCTTGCCAACCTGCAAGAAGACGAAGATCTCACAGGTGGTTTTCGTGGTGACCGAGCCTTTGCCTCAGCAGCGGACGAAGCTGACTGGGACGAGCAGGATGTGGACAACGCATCAGAAGAAGCTGGACCTCTCCCGTTCTGCTCCGTCGACGTTCCCATGGACGAAGACAACCCTCGCGAAAGTGCCAACGCCGAAACCTTCTACCATTTCGCCGACAACGGTTACGTAACACCTGCGACAGTCAACACCAACGAAGCAGAACGAATAGGACCAAACTTCATACCTGATCCAGAAGCGGGAGATGAAGCTGTTTATCCCAAGGACGTAAATCTTCCCCGCTACTCACAGAGTGGACTGCAGATTCTCGGGCTCGTCACCGCAGTCCACGGCTCCGCCACTCTTAAAGAGCCTGCGACGGTTCATCAGGCTCTGGGGGGGGGAACATAAGAAAAAATGGCGCGAAGCCATGGACAAGGAACTAAAAGCACTGGAGGAACGTAACACGTGGAAAGTGGTTCCTATCCGCGTGGCACGAAACAAGACAGTGCTCACCGGGAAGTGGGTCTTCCGTGTGAAGACAAAGGCCGACGGCACCATTGACAAATTCAAAGCTTGCTGGGTTGTACGCGGCTTCGACCAAGAGCACGGACGAGACTTCACCAAAACCTTCGCTCCGGTTAGCCGCCACACCTCTCTACGCATTCTCCTCGCAATCGCTGCCATGAAGAAGAAGCTACGACAAATCGACGTCGCGAACGCGTTTCTCTACGCACTTGTTGATGCAAAAATCTTCGTCGAGCTACCGCACTGCTCCCACACAGAACCCAACCAAGTCTGCCAGCTACTCTAGTCACTCTACGGCATCAAGCAGGCTCCGCGACTGTGGCAACAGTACCTGCACGCTCGCCTCATCCGCATCGGCTTCAAGCAACTACCGCACGATCAAGGCATGTACCGGCTCACTAAAAACGACGACTACATCCTACTAATCGTCTACGTGGACGATCTCCTTTACATCGGCTCAACTGACGGCATCACCACCTGGTTCGAAGGGGAGCTGCAACGGGATCTCATGCTCACTGTTTCATCTACCGTCACACAGTACCTCGGGCTCAACATCCGGGAAGAGGAAGACGCTATCTACCTCAGCGCCGCGAAATACGCCGACACCATCGCCAAGCGTTTCGCACTCACACCGACTGTCATCTCCACACCGTACCGCTACACGACAGCAAACAACAAGGAAGGCTCCGCTCTACTCAAGTCCGCCGGCATACGCGACTACCAGAGAAAGCTGGGCCACCCAGATCTATCCTACTCCGCAAGCCAGCTCGCCACCTACCTCAAGAAGCCTGAAGTAGAACATCTGGCGGAGCTCGACCGCGCTCTACACTACTTCGTCAGCACCTCAACGATCGGCCTAACTTACTACAAGAACGCAACCACACCGACTAAGTTAATCGGCTAGGTCGACGCTGATCACGCTGGCGACTCAAACAATAGGTGGCCCGCACTGGCTACATCTACCGCCTCGAACCTATCGGACCTATCTCCTGGCAATCGAGCAAGCAGGAATTAATTGCTCTCTCGTCAGCTGAAGTTGAATATATTGCACTCTGCTCAGCCACCAAGGAAGGACTCTATCTTCGCGAGCTGCTGGAAGAAGCGAAGTTAGCCGAGTTTCCCAACTTTATCCTGTTCTACGACAACCAATCGGCAATTCGCATCGCCAACAAGAACGGCTTCGCGAACCGGACGAAACACATCGCCCTGCGATATTTCTTCGTGAAGGATGAGATCGTGAAAGGAAGGCTCGAGCTGTCATACTGCCCCACGTCCAAGATGGCAGCTGACTACTGACCAAGAAGCTCGGAAAGCAGAAGTTCGAAAACTGCATGCTGCTGACTGGACAGGGTCACGTCAGCGACACTCCAGAAGCGAAGGTGGAGTGTTGGAAACAATCGGTCCTAAGCGCCTCTGTCGTGTCGAAACACTAAGGCACAAGCGAAGCAAAGCATATCGAGGCACCAGCGAGTCAACCCTCGGAGGTTGAAGTAACTGCTGGAGGTTACGCGAAAGTCAAAGGTCAGCGACCTTTGACCTGATAAGTACAGCGCGACAGCAAGGACACACAACTGACTCGCTACAGAGCAGTTGCCCGAGTCGTCACTGTATCGAACCGCAACAGCAACAAGTAAAACAGTTACAACCGTATCTCTTCGTAGTCCTTGTACTCTTATATAATCTTGTATCTCTTTGTTTTAATTAACTTGCTTTGCCCTCACATACTAGCGCAAGGTGGTTCACAAACTCCTTATTAACGCTTCTGCTACTACACCAACTCTACCCAGAGTTCACCCCTGCAAAGATCCTAAGGGCTTTTTCAGCCCAACAGTTGTCAAGTTTGTCCTAGCAATACAATGTGAATCTCAACTTCCCCAAAAAATACACGCTCTTCTAACGAGTAAAAACTGTATTGTTTCCTTTCACACTTGTCGAGTCGAATTCGACGCTGGTCTCTTGGTTCTTGATTCTTGGTTCTTGGTTCTTGATTCTTAGTTCTGGTTCTTGGTTCCTGGTTAGTTCTTGATTCTTGGTTTTGGTGACTACCTACCATCTACTAGCTATCCCGTTTTCTCAACACCCCGGCGTCGCCTCTCCTCCCATCCCAGTGTATCCTCTCCCTCCCATCCCGCCAGCGCCTCTCCCTCCTCCCTCCTCGCCATCGCCTCTCCCTCCCTTCCCGTCGTCGCCTCTAGTGGGTGCACGAGCGTGAGCGCGGGTTGCTAAACGACCTCGCGTTGTTTTCTGCGGCAGTGTTGTCTCAGGTGCGTTTACGTTTCTCGGACCTTTCTACCTCCCTCCTCCCGCCGAATTTGATTAAGTTCTCTATGCTGATTTTTCTTAGCATTACACTCCCGTTGCTCTCCTCTTTGGTCGCCTAACGCGCTGGCGCCTAGCGCGCTGGCGTTTAACGCGCTGGCGCCTAGCGCGCTGGCGCCTATCCCGCTGGCGCCTAGCGCACTAAGGGAGCGCGTGCGTGAGGGAGCGCGTGAGGGAGCGCGCGAGAGAGTGCGTGAGAGAGCGCGTGAGAGAGCGCGTGAGGGAGCGCGTGAGAGAGCGCGTGAGGGAGCGCGTGAGAGAGCGCGTGAGAGAGCACTATAGAGAGAGCGCGTGAGGGAACGCGTGAGAGTGCACGTGAGGGTGTGCGTGAGAGAGCGCGTGAGAGAGCGCATGAGAGAGCGCATGAGAGAGCGCACATGAGGTTGCGTATGAGAGAGCGCGTGAGAGAGCGTGAGAGTACGCGTGAGAGTACGCATGAGAGACCGCGTGAGAGAGAGAGAATGCGCGTGAGAGTGCCCGAGAGCGAGCGCGTGAGAGTGTGCCTGAGAGTGTGTGAGAGAGCGCGTGAGAGTGCGCGTGAGAGTGCGTGTGAAAGAGCGCGTGAGAGAGTGCATGAGAGAGGGCGTAAGAGAGCGCGTGAGAGAGCGCATAGCGCGTGTGAGTGCGTGAGAGAGAGCGTGAGGGTGCGTATGAGAGCGCGTGAGAGAGCGCGTGAGAGAGAGCGTGAGTGTGCACGTGAAAGTGCGCGTGAGAGAACGCGTGAGAGAGAGAGTGCGCGTGAGAGTGTGAGAGAGTGTATGTGAGAGTTTGTGTGTGAGAGTTTGCGTGAGAGTGTGCGTGAGAGAGCGCGTGAGAGTGTGCGTGAGAGTGCGCGCGAGAGAGCGCCGAGAGAGCGCGTGAGAGAGCTCGCGAGAGTGCACGTGAGAGTGCGCGTGAGAGTGCGCGTGAGAGTTCGCGTGAGAGTTCGCGTGAGAGTGCGCGTGATAGTGCGTGTGAGAGTGCGCGTGAGAGTGCACGTGAGAGAGCGCGCGAGAGAGCGCGTGAGAGAGCGCGTGAGAGAGAGCACGTGAGAGAGCGCGTGAGATAGCGTGTGTGTGAGAGAGAATGTGCGTGAGGGTGCATGAGAGAGAGCACGAGAGAGAGCGCGTGAGAGAGCACGTGCGAGTGCGCGTTAGAGAGCGCGTGAGAGTGCGCATGAGAGTGCGCGCAAGAGAGCGCGTGAGAGAGCGCGTGAGGGAGAGCACGTGAGAGAGCGCGTGAGAGAGCGCGTGAGACAGAGCACGTGAGAGAGCGCGTGAGAGAGCGTGTGTGAGAGAGAGAATATGCGTGAGAGTGCATGAGAGAGAGCGCGAAAGAGAGCGCGCGAGAGAGCGCGAGAGAGCGCGCGAGAGAGAGCGCGAGAGAGCGCGCGAGAGTGCGCGTGAGAGAGCGCGTGAGAGTTCGCGTGAGAGTTTGCGTGAGAGTGCGCGTGAGAGTGCGCGTGAGAGTGCACGCGAGAGAGCGCGTGAGAGAGTGCGTGAGAGAGAGCATGTGAGAGAGCGCGTGAGAGCGTGTGTGAGAGAGAGAGAATGTGCGTGAGAGTGCATGAGAGAGAGTGCGAGAGAGAGCGCAAGAGAGAGCGCGTGAGAGAGCACGTGAGATTGCGCGTTAGAGAGCGCGTGAGAGTGTGCATGAGAGTGCGCGCGAGAGTGCGCGCGAGAGTGCGCGCGAGAGAGCGTGTGAGAGAACGCGTGAGAGAGAGCACGTGAGAGAGCGCGTGAGAGAGCGTGTGTGTGAGAGAGAGAATGTGCGTGAGAGTGCACTAGAGAGAGCGTGAGAGAGAGCGTGTGAGAGTGTGCCTGAGAGTGCGTCTAAGAGAGCGCACCAGAGAGCGCGTGAAAGAGCGCGTGAGAGAGCGCGTGAAAGAGCGCGTGAGAGAGCGCGTAAAAGAGCGCGTGAGAGAGTGCGTGAGAGTGTGCGTGAGAGTGTGTGAGAGTGACTGTGAGAGTGCACGTGAGTGCGCGTGAGAGAGTGCATGAGAGAGCGCGTGAGAGCGTGTGAGAGAGCACGTGAGAGTGCGCGTTAGAGAGGGCATGAGAGTGCGCGTGAGAGTGCGCGTGAGAGTGCTCGTGAGAGTGCGCGTGAGAGTGCGCGTGAGGGTGCGCGTTTGGGTGCGCGTTTGGGTGCGTGTAACGCTTGGGCGCTGGCATGGCACCTAGTGTGCCGTGCCTGAAGCGCTAGCGTCATGGCCTTTGGCCTTATTGCTTTCTTGTACACAGTGTGTGAACATACACTGTTTTTTGTGCAAGGTGTGCTGTTGCTTTCTCTGTTCATGCTTCCTTGTGCAGGGCATGTGTGTGTTGACTTCTCGATTCTATCTTGTGCAGGGCATGGGGGTGTTGACTTCTCTGTATTTGCTTTGTGCAGGGCTTGTGTGTGTTGACTTCTCTGTTTTTTCTTTGTGCAGGGCGTGTGTGTGTTGAGTTCTCTGTTTTGGTTTTGTGCAGGGCATGTGTGTGTTGACTTCTCTGTTTCACCCCACGCTCCTCCTGGCCCTCCTCTAAGGCACGATGCCTTGCTGTGCTCGGCAAGCTCTCAGAGCGGGTATTATTTAGTCAGTGTTAGATTGAGGATGCTCCAGTTTAGAGACTACGGTAGTTTCCGCCATGGTTACGTCACCTGATACTGGGACGTCAGCCAAACGGCGCCGTCGCCGCCGTGTTGTAAGCGATGCTCTTGTTCCTAGGTCGTCGCCTAGGCCCGTCCTGCCAACGCCTGCTGCATCTTCAAGCGACGCTACAGAGTGTGAGCGCAGCGATAGCCCTCCCCGTCCGTTGCCGTAGGTTTGGGTTCCAACATTTCCGCAAGCCAGGAGACCCCAGGGTCAGAAGAAGCGGGTACCTGATGCAGACCCCCCATCGCCTCGACGCCCCATAACAAAGAAGGCGCGGCGCGCCTTTACCGTTAAGGAGAAGCTGTACTGGCTGGCGATGCTAGACGCGCAGCCCGATTCGAGCGTCTAGAAGTTGGCGAGGCTTGCGAAAGTGCAGCTGAAGCAAATTCGCGAATGGCGCAGCTTCAAAGAGCGCCTAGGTGTCGCGGCTGGGTGTCGCCAACGCCTAGGTGGTGCTGGACGAAAGCTGAAGTGGCCTGTGATGGAACGAGCGGTCTACCGCAAGTTCCTTTCTAATCGCGGAAAAGGCCTTCCGGTCTCCATCAGCATGTTGCAAAAGTGGGCGACGTGCTTCATGAAGAATCGTCACCCTGGAGAGAAGTGGCGCTCGTCCCAGCTCTGGACAAAGCGGTTCCGCAAGCGTTGGTCCTTGGCGAGGCGTGTGAAGACGAAGGTCGGCCAAAAGCTTGCTGCAGATAAGGGTTTTCACGCATCCCGATCGCTCTCTAGTGGAGAATTGCATCCAATGACGCGTTCTTTGTTTGTTGTGCCGCAGACTGCGCGAAAAAGTGTGAATCGTTCTGGGAATTTGTGCGGCAAATGCGCGTGCTCAACTCCTACCCCCTCAATCTCATCGTGAACGCGGATCAAACGCCGTTGTTCCTCTAGATGCCTACCGAGCGCACCCTCGAGATGAAAGGCGCGCGTACCGTGCACGTGCGCACCACAGGCTACGAGAAGGAACGCCTCACCGTCATGCTGGCGGTGACGGCGAGCGGCTTGAAGCTCCCTCCGTACGTCGTCTTCAAACGGAAGACACTGCCAAAGATTCCTGTGCCTCGAGGTGAGATGCTTGAGTGGGTGCTTTGTGGTTGTTGGTTAAAGAAAAACCAATGCTAATGTTTCCTTAGCATCCGTGCAGGTGTCGTCATCCGAGCCCAGGAAAAGGGTTGGATGGACGAGAAGCTTGTCCAGGACTAGACAACGCAAGTTCTCGTGCCATTCCTGAAGCCAGTACGCGAGGAGGAAGGACGGCGCAAGGATGGGCTCCTCGTCCTCGACTCGTACCGCGGCCACATCACGGAAGGGGTCGGACAAACGATGAAGTTGTTTAAGCTCACGCGTGCGGTGATCCCTGGAGGTTGCACCTCACTGCTGCAGACGCTGGACGTTTCGGTGAACCGCAACTTCAAAGCCGGGATGCGCCACCGCTACTCCACCTGGTTCGAGGACAAGGGGATTGGATACACCACCCCAGCAGGTGAGATTAGTGCTTGAATACGGTCTGCACCTGGTTTACAGCTTGAATTCTTCCTAAGCTGACTGAATACTGCCCCTCCCCGTGCCTTAATCCGCAGGGAATTTGAAAAAGCCACCAGCGGAGAAGGTGCTCCGCTGTATTGACAAGTCCTAGGCTGACGTCCCGAAGGAATTGGTGAGGAAAGCTTTCCTTACCTGCGGCATCTCTACCGCCGTTGATGGGAGCGAGGATCATCTGATCCACGCTCACCTGCGCGACGCAGCAGAGGTGGAGGTGCTGGAGGATGTGTGCGAGGAGGAGCTGGACGAGCTCGTCCCCAACCCCTTCTACCCTGACCCTGCTGCTGTTGCTGACAAGGACGACGATGCCGCCCTGGTGGCGGAAGCTAGGAGGGGTGGGGGGGCGGAGGAGGACTCCGAGGAGGATAGTGACTACGAGGAGGACTCTGAGGAGGATGAGGACTCCTCGAAGGATGAGGAGTCCGACGATGAGGAGGAGGAGGGTGAGGCACCTGAGGAGGTGGGAGTTGGACAGGGATGGGATGACGATGACGAGTGGTGGGAAGAAGGGCGATATGATGGGGAGGAGGTAGAGGAATGGGTAGCTGGACAGGATGATGAGTAAGGGTAGATGTGTTTGTGCTGTGGTGACTGACTGTTATCCCTCCTTAATGAACAATGTGTGGCATCTTTTGTGAAAAGCCGTAGGAGAACTATCGGAAATTCATTCCTTTGCTATAAAATGACCCCTTCTCAAAGGAGGGGGGGGGGGTCTTATAATGTTAGCCCCCATTTAGGGGGGTATAACAAAAAATGACCTAAATAGCGTACCCCCCTCCGTATTACAGACCCGGGGGTCTACAACTGGGGGGGGGTCCTATATCCGGGGTATTATGGTATCTGTGGTTGTTTGCGTGTGTGTCGAGTGTGCGTGTGATTATTCGTGTGTTTACGTTCGCGTGTGAGCCCATGTGTGCGATATGTGCATTTGTCTGTTCGCACCTGTCTGTCTCGTGTATGCAACTGATGTGTGATGTTAAAGTGTGTCGGGTCTGCATTTGAGGTGGGGATCGTTGTTGGGGCAGCGTTGCTCGCCTTAGCATACCGGAACCACCACTGTTGTAGCACCGATGCATTTTAGCATTCAGCCGCAGTAGTTGCGTTGTTTTTGCACGTATTATGCAACTGAGGTGTGATGTTAAAGTGTGTCGGGTCTATATTTGAGGTGGGGGTCGTTGTTGGGGCAGCGTTGCTTGCCTTAGCATACCGGAACCACCACTGTTGTAGCACCGATGCATTTTAGCATTCACTCACAGTTATTATGTGTTGTTTTTTGCTCGTATGCACATGATTTGAAAGGTAGCTACCTTTGAAGACGGTGGGTTGAACTTTTAATATGGCTCGGTAGGGTACCCAGGTTAACGAAATTTCGGATCACCCGCCTCCTAGAGACGGTTATTGTAAACTTTTCGAATACGTCCAAGGAGCAGTTCCACTGTTCAGTTCAGTGTGTTTCCGCAGTTCACTGTAGCGAGAAACAGGGTGTACCAAATGTTTAGGGTTGCTACTCAACCCAAAAAGACGTTGATGCAGTGCCGCATGTCAGATTACAATTGTATCTCTAGGCTACAGTAGGGTCACTCCTTAGTGAGTACAACACTTAAGTGTTAGGTTTCCCCTCACTTTAGTCAGTACCGTTCCGCCTAGTGGTAGCGCCACGCCCTACACAGTAGCCAGCGCGCTGGCGCCCCTAGCTCTCACTGTCGCGACCCTTGCAGCCCGTGCGCTGCCCCTGCGACCGCGTTGCCCCTGCAGCCGTGCTCGCCCCTGCTACCGTGCTGCCCCTGCAGCCGCGCCTGCCCCTATGGCCTGCGCGCTGCCCCCGCAGCCCGTACGACGCTTCTGCAGCCCATACGTCGCCCCTGCAGCCCGTTCACGCTGCCCCTGCAGCCCGTTCACGCTGCCCCTGCACCCCGTTCACGCTGCCCCTGCAGCCCGCGCACAGACCTACCGAGCTGCGCGTTGCCTCTGCAGCCCGTCCGCACGGCCCCTGCAGCCCGCGCGTCGCCCCTGGGGCCCGCGCGCCGCCTCTGCAGCCCGTTCGCGCCGCCCCTACAGCTCGCGCACGGACCTGACGAGCCGAGCGTTGCGCTCTGCTGCAGCCTGCGCGTCGCGCCCTAAGGCAGCCCGTCGCGTCGCGCTCTGCTGCCCCTCGCGTCACGCACTGCTGCAGCATGCGCCAGCACCCTGCCCTGCGCGTGCTGGCACCCTGCCCTGCGCCAGCGCCCTGCCCTGCGCCCGCGCCCTGCCCTGCACCAGCGCCCTGCTATACCCTAAATATAATTAAATAATTTATTTAAAAAAAGGGCCCTAGGTGCTTCTGCCCTAGGAGCTACTGCCTATTACTGCCCTGCTGCTGTTACTACTGCTGCTGCTACTTCTCGTGCTACTGGGAGTGGTGGAGGTGCTGTTGGGAGTGCAGGAGATGCTGCTGGCGCTGTAGGAGCTAGAAGTGCTGGACCTACTCCTGACCATCACTGTCTATCATGGCCACTTCCGCGGCAGTTGCTGCGGCCAGGGGTGGACAGCAGCGGGCACTGCTTCTCCCGGACGACCCCACCCCTCGGCAGCTTCGTAAGTGGGTTATTCAGCGAGGTCGTCCTGGTGGTGGAGGTTATCGTTCCGTTAGGATTGCTGCTCTAGCTGCTAGTGAGTCTGCTGCCGCTCCAGGCGCTAGTGAGTCTGCTGCAGCTCTAGGTGCCCATGCGTCTACCGACGCTCTAGGTGCTAGTGCGTCTACTACCACAGTGCCTGCGTCAGATGAGGTCTTGCACACTTTCACGCTTGACTCAGTCGCGTCACGTTGCTTCTTTCGTGATTGCACCACAATCACACCACTCACAGCACTTGTCCCAGTCTCACTGGCTGATCCCTCTAGGGGCCTAGTGGTTGCGAGAGCCTCCACGGTCCTCCCTTGTCCAGCAGTCCCCTCCGGCTCTTTGTCAGGTCTCCACCTCCCCACGTTCTCGACAAACTTGGTGAGCAACGCTGCCGTTCAGGATGTCTGGGTTGATACCTTTATTTCTGGAGGGCAGCGTGTGGCGATCTGTACGTGCTCCCAGACTGGCCGACACCTGGCTACGTTCACTCGACAGCCTGGGTCTAGTCTATACACATTGACCACTGCGTCTGCACAGGTGGCTGAGTCAGGTCAGGTAGCTGCGTCGAGTCGAGCGTCTGCGTCAGGCCAGTTAGCTGCGTCTTGCTCGTGCAGAGTACTCACGCATGAGACCCAGTGCTGGCACCACCGTCTTGGTCACCCCTCCCTTCAGCATCTGCGCGGCATGCTCTCCCGGCTCCTGGTCTCTGGCCTCCCTAAGACCCTGCCCCCCCTCCAGCGCTCACTTGCGCCGCCGTGCCTTCCTTGCGTCGAGGGGCGGCAGCGCGCCGCTCCTCACTCCTCCGAGTTTCCTCCAACCACTGCTCCTCTGCGGACTCTCCACGTGGACGTGTGGGGCCCGGCCCCCGTCGGTGAGACGGACCTAGAGCGCTACTTCCTGCTGGTTGTTGATGACTACACACGCTACACCACAGTCTTCCCCTTGCGCCATAAGGCGGACGTCAGCGGTGTTTTGATCCCTTGGATCCGTGCTACTTGTCTCCAGCTACACGAGCACTTTCAACAGGACTTCCCAGTCCTGCGTGTGCACTCTGAAAGGGGTGGTGAGTTCTCTTCTGGCGTCCTTGAGACGTTCTGCCAGGATGAGGGCATCGCCCAGTCGTTCACGCTTCCGGCCAGCTTAGCAACTAGGGCAGACGCAGCAGCAGACTCAAAGGAAGGGTCAGTGAAAGGAGTGGCCAGGGACGCGTGACAGTAGGACTGGCACCACGAAGAGAGTCAGACTCAGGGTCAGCAAGAGCAGGAAGAGAGGACTCAGGAGGAGACGGCAGAGGGACACGCTGTGGAGCAGTGGAGGGACGCAGTGACATCCGGTGAGTGCCAGGGACTGGTGGCGGACGCTCACGCGGAGTACGGCGACTGGTGGAAATAGTACGAATAGAGGACTCAGGACAGGACACAGGCGACACAAGGCGAGACTCAGGCTGACGACGCTCTGTGAGACCGCCTGTAGGACCAGTGTAGGGAGAAGGACGAGGAAGTGGCGAGGCAGGCGGTAGCTGTGACTGCGACTGGACCGGCGGTGGACACTCTACAAAGGGAGGGGGACAAGGCGGAGGTGACTGACCAAGAACCTGCTGAAGGAGTGGAACAAAGTACGGCCGCGGCCGTGAGCTGCCCCCTGCAGCAGCAGAGACAGCATTAGAACCTCTAGCAGCTCCAGCAGCACCCCCAGCACCTCCAACGCCCGGGTCTGCAGCACCAGTAGCAGCTCCAACGCCAGGGTCCGCAGCACCAGTAGCAACCCCAACTCCAGGGTCCGCAGCACCAGCAGCAGCTCCAACGCCCTGGTCCGCAGCACCAGCAGCAGCTCCAACGCCCGGGTCCGCAGCACCAGCAGCAGCTCCAACGCTCGGACCTGTAGCACCAGCAGCAGCTCCAACGCCCGGGTCCGCAGCACCAGCAGCAGCTCCAACTCTAGGGTCCGCAGCACCAGTACCAGGGTCCGCGACACTGGGAGCGCCACTCCTGAGACTGCAGCGCCGTGCATACCACTCACGAAGACGCTGGGGAGAGGGCAGCTCCCGCCTAGGCGAGGAAGCACGAGCACCAGCTCGAGCAGCACCCCTAGCTCCAGAAGCACCTCTCCTGAGGCTGCAAACATGTAAGTACCACTCACGCAGCTGCAGTGAGGAGAGAGCTCCTCCAGGCGTAGCACTCCCAGGCTCAGCACACCCAGACTTAGCACCCCCAGACTCAGCACAAGCAGGCTCCGTACTCCCAGGTTCAGCACCCCCAGACTCCGCACCCCCAGGCTCAGTACCCCCAGACTCTGCACCCCCAGGCTCAGCACCCCCAGTCTCCGCAACCCCAGGCTCCGCACGCTCAGGCTCAGCACCCCGAGCAGGACGAGAGTCGACAGCTACCTCGACAGGCTCAACCGGGTCTACCTGGGACACACCTGAGGGAGCGGCACCCTGAGGGGGGAGGGGGTCTACTACAGCAGCACCTGGCGCGAGGAAGAGAGGCGGGGGAGGGAGCAGGGCAGTGCGGTAGGGGAAGAGGCGGTAGAAGGGTACCAACTCGTCAAAAGTGACGTCCTGAGAGGCGAGGACACGGCGAGAGGTGGGGTGGTAAAACTGCCAACCAGACGCGTCTGGAACAAAGCCTAGGGAGACACACGGAACAGCGCGGGAGGAGAGCTTGTCCGCGGACGTATCGCGAACAAAAGCTCGGGATCCCCAGACCCGAAAACGCGACGCATCGCCAACCTCTCCCGTCCAACGCAGTATCGGGGAGGTCTCCGGCAAGGAGACACGGGGCCAGAGGTTGAGCAAATGCGCAGCTTATCGGACCGCAAACGGCCACAGAAAGTGGGGGGCAGCCGCATGGATCAAGGAGGTACGAGCGACCTCCATGACCAAGCCAATGCGGCGCTCAGCAACCCCATTCTGTTGTGGAGAGGCCGGAAGCGGGAACGACTGGCGGATGCCGTGCTCCGCACA